GATGTTTTGTGGAATAATCTCAAGTACATATGACGATCATATGCATAGAAATGTGGAGCTAGTCTCTTTCATGCAGCAATTTGTAATTCCCAATTTAAACTCCGAAAAGACAAGAGCAAAGAAATGTACATTAATGAGAAAAAGTCTCTGTGAATAAAATTATTCCAAAACTTAAACGTGTCATTAGTGTTGTATTATTTATCAGTAGAGATAATCAGATTACAGTAAGATTGCCCAACTGAAGGCTTTTGTCGGTAATGTTTTGTAAATCTTGAAGATTTCTTTAGCCTCCATTGTCAGTAAAACCACGTCTTTCAATATTTTGTTTCTGGTTTGTTTACATGTAAATTCTGAATTCTCGTGTTTTAAATTTCTATTGATAAAGAAACTGAGCAAGTGAGCTTTGTAGAAAGATGTCAAGATGAAATAAATGAGTTTTACTAAAGTGTGTGCATTGCTGTTGGACTGTTAAAGAGGCCATCTTCTTTGTGTCTTAATTTGGCAATTTCTTTCAATCCAACATCGAAGTATGTTTTCATAAGAACTGGCTAAATGGTTTTTAGAAAATGCTAGTCACTGAGGGAAAGGAGAGACCCACGAAAGTTCATCTGTATATTCAATTTTGAACATTAACATATATGTTTTGGCATCAACGGCATTTAAAATAAGACCGCAGTTAAAATTTTAGTCTAAAGTTTCATGACTTTTTGTCGAGCCTGCGACTTTTGTCGCAGAAAACTCGACATAGGGATAGTGATCCGGCGGCGGCGGCGGCGGCGTAAGCTAACTTATTTAAAGCTTTGTATTTTAGAGGGTGGAAGGTCTGGATGCTTCATACTTTGTATATAGATGCCTTATGCTACGAAGTTTCCGACTGTCACATGTCCGTTGTCCATGACCTCATTTTCATGGTTCAGTGACTACTTGAAAAAAAGTTAAGATTTTTTGCAATGTTAATTTCTCTCTTATAATGAGTAATAGGATAACTATATTTGGTATGTGCGTACCTTGCAAGGTCCTCGTGCCCGTCAGACAGTTTTCACTTGACCTCGACCTCATTTCATGGATCAGTGAACAAGTGTAAGTTTTGGTGGTCAAGTCCATATCTCAGATACTAGAAGCAATAGGTCTAGCATATTCGGTGTATGGAAGGACTGTAAGTTGTACATGTCCAACTGGCAGGTGTCATCTGACCTTGACCTCATTTTCATGGTTCAGTGGTTATAGTTAAGTTTTTGTGTTTTGGTCTGTTTTTCTTATACTGTATGCAATAGGTCAACTATATATGGTGTATGGAATGATTGTAAGGTGTACATATCTAGCTGGCAGGTGTCTTCTGACCTTGACCTCATTTTCATGGTTCAGTGGTCAATGTTAAATATTTGAGTTTTGGTCTTTTTTTCTAATACTATCTGCAATAGGTCAGCTATATTTGGTGTATGGAAATATTTTATGATGTACATGTCAGTCTGGCCGGTTTTATTTGAGCTTGACCTCATTTTCACGGTTCATAGCTCAGTGTTAAGTTTTTGTGCTTTGGTCTGTTTTTCTATTTCTATAAGCAATAGGTCAACTATATTTGTTGTATGGAAGGATTGCAAGCTGTACATGTCTGCCTGGCATGGTTCATCTGACCTTGACCTCATTTTCATGGTTCATTAGTCAATGTTTAGTTTTCTTGGTTAAGTCTGTATCTTAGAAACTATAAGTAATAGGTCAACTATATTTAGTGTAATAAATGATTGTAAGGTGTACATGTATTTCTTGTTTGGTTTATATGACCTTGACCTCATTTTCTTGGATCATGTTAAGTTTATGTGATAGTTGTAGTAAAGCTTTATATTTAGAACTATCAACATAATATCAATGATTAGTAAAGAAGGCGAGACATTTCAGCGTGTGCACTCTTGTTAAACTATATTGGGACATATTTGACAAGAGTCCGTCCTTCTCTTTTTTTGTGGAGGACCCTGGGGTTTGATCATACGCTATGATTGTCTTGTTACCAACTTAAAAAAACTCCGCAGGCTTGTTCATATTATGATACGATCTGTTTGCCGTCTTAATTCCACATTTGGCACACTTGACATTTTTATCAAGGATGGGCTTTTAGTTTCAGTTTGCACGACATTGTAGTTCACAAAGTTTATGACAAAATAAAGATTTAATTTGTTTATTAATACGACATGACAAATTATAGTCCGAGATTACCCTGACGTCCAACGGCTGTTTCGCAAGACAAGCTGGGCTGTGCTTGTCTGGGAAAACAGTCGTTGGACGTCAGAGAACTAGCCAAGTTATTCTAAAAAAAAAAGCTCCTGGCATGCTACCCGCCTGACTTACAAACTTTCATCAGAGTCTGAATAGGGGGAGGGGGCAGGGTGCCCGGCCGCCCCTTTCAGTGCTAGACAAATTTGGTTAATTATATACGAAATCACTGAAGCAGGACTGGAGCGGGCCCCTTTTGTTTAGGTAGTCAGTAGGCATCCCCTTAGGTTTCAACCATTTTTACTTCAAAACGGGGTAGGGGTATGTTTTTTTTTTTGTCCGAGTCAAACATTTTTCATATATTAATAAATTTAGATTTAACATATACTTTCTTATATGTAGTGTTTGTATAAAAGTATTACCAACAAAATTCATCAAATTGGGGATCATAATATTTTTAAAGAAAAAACCCATAACCCCCTTTTTTCTTAAAGTTAAATGGTCGTTCCCTAAGGAAAATTTCTGGACCTGCCACTGTTTATACTTTAATATGCACGTTAAAGATTTCACATCAGTGCGGACTTCTGAATCAACACCTGCAAAAGTTTTCAATTATACAAAAGATAAGAAATTTAATGCATTTTTAATTTGACTCGGATGGATATTTTTATTTTGCACACACTCCAACATATTACAAGAACTGACAATAAACATAAATCAAAGTTAGAGAAATGAGTATATTCATATCAAAGAAATACCAAATAAAAATACTCATGATTTTCGAACAAAGACAAAACTATTGCGTAGTGTGTAAGTATTTCAATTTTTCATTTTTTTTTTACAGATTTGAATATGGAAGATGCGCATACCTGCACATCATAAAAGTGCAAAGTCTGTTGTTTAACACACGTGGTTAATTTGGATCACATGTTTTCTAGTCCTATATTATAGGAATTAGAAGGTTCATATCATTTACATTCAACGTTTTTATGCGATTTTTTTTCACTATCAATGTAGAACCTCGAGGTTACATTAATAGTAAACAAAAATCCGATAAAAAACGTTGAATGTAAATGATATGAACCTTTAAAGTCTTATATTATAGGACTCATGTTTTCAAACATAATCTGTTGATCATTTATATTATGATGATTTCAATACACTCCACATAAGTTAATTTGTCACGTATATTGATTACACTATATCGAGTTGTCCCAACGATACACTTATCGGTGTGCTCGATCATACGAATTTACAGACATTGATATAGACAAAATGACCCAACTTTGAAAAATTCTTGTGGCGAAACTACATTTTGGAACACGTTAAAAATTGGATCCTCAGAAAGCTACATTACTAAGTTAAGGTTTGATATATATTTTTTTTTAAGAAAAACGAAAAATATGCAGTCAAGATTGGCAGTTTTTTTATACACCCTATGTTGAGCAATAATTAAATTGTTCAATTAAGGTTCATGTGGACCCTTCGTCTAAAATGGCTGCATTTTCACCTCAAAATTTACTCTGAGTACAGACAAACCTGTGCATCTGGAAAAGTTTTAAGGCATAGCATGCCCTAGATAAATAAAATTCAAATATATTTTATGTTTATGAAAATTAAAAACTTAACCGGATTTTGCAGTACACTTTTTTTCATTCCACCAGAAGGTGCCAAAATAAACAAAGTTGGGAAAGAGGTTTGAGAACTTCCCCACAGGTAATAATTGAAGTGAACTGTTTTGATTGACATGGACAATAGATGGACAATAGATACCTGACAATAATTGGTGATTTAAACTGTGTACCTGAGTGGACCATATCAAGTGAAACTCAACTGTTTGTTAATTTTATCATCTTCTGCAGGGACGAAAAAAAGTGCACTGTTAAATCCAGTTAAGTTTTAAATTTTCTAAAATATACAATGCATTAGATGTTTATTTATCTAGGGCATGCTATGCCTTAAAACTTTTCCAGATGCGCAGGTTTGTCTGTCCTCAGAGTAAATTTTGAGGTGAAAATGCAGCCATTTCAGCCAAAGGGTCCACATGAACCTTAACAGCATATTTGGCAACTAAAAAATCATATATCAACAAATTCAACTTTGAAATATACTTTACTTATAGTGGTTGTATAAAAGTTATATTATGGTTTTGTGTTTTAAGAGATATTCACCCCTATGCATATCGAGTTTTATGTGTAAATTGTCTTTCCTTTTTTTTTGACCTTTTCTATCTCTTTCATAAGAAGAGTCACGTTTCTATTGTTCTAGTGTCACTGGAAATCCCACTGAATACGACGTAATTTTCTATGGATGCTTTGAAGATATGGTAATTACAAAGTAGAAATTAAAATAATCTTTACGGTAGTAATTCCATTTTATCATCATGATAAATACCGAAACTGTAAAACTGGAAATGGGGAATGTGTCAAAGAGACAACAACCCAACCAAAGAGCAGAATACAGCTGAAGGCCACCAATGGGTCTAAAATACAGCGAGAAAATCCCGCACCCGGAAGGGGGCTGCTTCAGCTTGTATATTTCTAAATGATGTGTAATTAGTCCCCGTTTGTGCCTTGCAGGTAGTAATTTACTTGCCTGAAAAAGTTAAATAAGCTCATTTTTTTCTGCACGTTATATAATACATTTTTTTCTATATTAAATATCTGTATTCATTCCTGTTATACTGTTGCATGAAACATTATGACGATAATAGTTACGGGTGAACACCTTGTTGGTGCCTCAAAACACTTACTATTTAATGGTTCGAGGTGTAATTCGGGCACATTGTGACAGTGGACTTCATTTTGCACGGACGGCAGTAAAGATATGGTTCCCGCAAAATTTCTTGTGATTTTTGTTCTGTGTCTTGGAATTTCTGATGCAAATTTTTTGAGGAAACTATTAAAAGGTAATATATATATTTATACATGTTTTTATCTTTCTATCTGTCATGAATATTGCCTTTTTTTTTTAATCCAAGGCATTACAAGTTATGCATATATTATTGTTTTCGCTCTTCGAGGTTGCAAAAAGCTTGTTTCAGAAATACATAATGAATCAATAATTAACAGTAGTCATTTTCTAACAACGTAAAATATATTTTAAAACGTACAGAAAATACCGATTCATTTTCTACTTTGTCGACTTGCATACTTGGCACTAAATTGACTAATGGAGCAGGATCTGCTTATCCTTTTAAAGCACCTTAGAGCCCCTACAGCTTTTGGTGGGGATCGTGTTGCTCAGTCTTTAGTTTTCAAGTGTGTAATGTTTTGTGAACTTGTTTGTCTGATCGTCTTTGTCTTTTTATGCAATGGCCTGATGGCCATTGTGTCATTCTGAATGTGAATTTGATATACCATTGGACATTAAATAAGCCATCTATCGACCCACCTTTCCCGGCATTGATCATTCATCACAAGAAAGTACAATTGTTAGCTGACTAATAGGGAACTTCCCAAAAATGTTACCCCAATTTGCATATTTTTACACCTTCGGATGTAGCAGAGACATGCATGATATGTGAGGATCGTAATGGGGGTACCCTCATGACGAATAGCGGTAAAAATCCTTGCCAAATGACGTTAACGGTAATTTTTGGTGCATGACGATAAAATGTACACTTTCTTTCAGACGGTAAAAAAAAATCGACTGAGTTTTCCAAAAATAACGATAATTATTTGAGACCTCTGACGAATCACGATAAGGATATTTTGACGAATCACGATAAGGATATTTTGACGAATCACGGTAAATTTTTAACCAATTAGACGCTAACGGTAGCCTAAAATGACCGTTTGACGCCGAATGGTAAAGGGCATTCCTACTTTCATATGTCTCTATGTGTAGGAACGAAATCCGACAAAACAAATATTTTGTATTTTTTGCAACACAAAATGCATTTAACTTCATATGGAATTGTTGTATACAGTGGTAGTGGCTCTTGTACTGAATTTACTTTTGCACATGCAGTTTTGAGCAAATTTGTAGCGTGTATCGGGTAATATTTGAAATTAATTCAGGACTAGAAATGCACTTTTTCTTGTTTCTAGAAATTCACGTCGGTTAAGGTTCATCTATACACTTTTAACAAAAATGGCTGTGTTTACACCATGAAATTTTCTCTGAATGCAGACCAAACTGTGTAATTCTAATAGTTTTAAATCCTGGCAGCACCTAGATATATACAAGTTGTATTCATTTTGTGTTTTAAAAAGAAAAAACCTTTTGTGGATTTTGCTAAACATTTTCTTTCCTTGCCACAGGTGGTGTAAAAATAAATAAAGTCATGTGAAATCTTTGAGATGGTCCCCCTCAGGTAATGATTGAATTGTATCATATTGATTGGTATGGACAATAGAGGGACAATAGAAATCTACTCACAACAAAGGTGATTTAAATAGTGTAAATGAGTGGACTGTATCAAAGAAAACTCAGGTGTTTGTTTATTTCACCATCTTCTATGGCAAGGAGAGAAAATGTTAATCAAAATCCATAAAGTGTTTTAACTTTTTAGAACATAAATTGGATGTAACATTATAATTTATCTAGGTGCTGCCAGGCATTAAAACTTTTAAAATTACACAGTTTTGTCTGTACTCAGAGAAAATTTCATGGTGTAAACACAGCCATTTTTGTTAAAGTGTATAGATGAACCTTAATTCACGTTTTTGTTTTTCACAAAAATCATATGTGTGTATACTTTTTTCCATTTTTTTATTATTTAAAAATGTAGTAAGAGACTATACTGCTTAAAACGTTGCAATCGATACAAAATTTAACTTATGTTCCGATTTTTAGAGCCTCGGTGGCCAAGTCGTCTAAGTAGTTCTACTACTGTAATCACTATAGCCATGCAGTCAACACTGTGGTTGTGAGTTCGAACCCCGCTCGTGCGGGTGCACTCGACTCCAATCTTAATTGACTAGGATTGCCAGTTTTCCTATCGAAGGTCGGTGGTTTTCTCCGGGCACTCCGGCTTCCTCCACCAATAAATATTGGCCGTCACGAAATAGCCCAAAAGTGGCGTTAAAACACCAACAATCAATCAATCAATCAATAGAGCCAGATGTGGTATGATTGCCATTAAGACAACTATTCACCATTTCAAATGAACAGATGAAGTGGATGTAAGAAATTATAGGCATCAGCACGGCCTTCAACATGGAGAAAAACCCCATACCATATAGTTGGCTATAAAAGGCCCCGATATGAATAATGTGAAACAATTCAAACGACAAAACTGACGGCCTAATTTATAACAAAACACTTTACTAACAACAAATTAAATATGACAGACATGAATAAACGACAACCACTGAACTAAAGGCTGCTGACTTGGGAGATAGCAGGAATTTATATACAGTTGTATTATATCTCTGGAGATAGATCGTCTATTCCTGTGGATAAAAGGGAAAAGTGAGTTTGACTGGATATGATATATTTTCAACTGTGTAATATTAATATATAATCGGAAAGTAAACTAATAAATCAACTTACTTTTAGAGTTGTCAGATGGAGACGCAGAAGATTTTCAAGATGAAATTGGGGTAAGTTACTATTTGTTACTAACTTACTATACTTTACAGATTGAAGTATTACCCCAGTGAGACACTAAACCAGTAGTGACTAAGTCTCAGGTATTACCGTATAATTGCCTAAATGAAGAAAAAAAGAAAGTATATATATAATTGCCTGTGTACCAAATCAGGAATATGACAGTAGTTTTCCATTCGTTTGATGTGTTTTTCATTTACTAAAGGACTTTTTATTTTGAAGTTTTCTTGGAAGACGGTATTTTTTTTTTTCAATTCCCTCTGGAAATTTTCGGGTTCCCCGTCATTGATTCTTTGTAACGACCACTTCGAATTCGTCGGGCGAAGTTTGCGAGACTGGTCTACAGGGAAAAAAGTAGTATTACATTTTCCCAGCTTTAGGTCTGGCCTTTTGTGTACCCAAGGCAGGTGGATGTAAGGGTATATATTTTTTTATTTATCTATAAATAACTGCAATGTGTATTTTTACAATAAAAATTTTGAAACCCATTGAAATATTTTCTACTGTAGTGTAGTCCAAATAATTATGACGTCTTGAATGGCTAGTGTAAGGCGTCAAAGCAAAAACATAAAATAGCCTGAAGTTTCAAGACGTCATAATTATTTGGACTAACTGTAGTGTAGAGAATTATTCGAAAGGCAGTGTCTCCGCGTCCCCGTATGCAGGGACGAGAAGTCAAATTGGCATTCGTAGGCTACGCGTCCCCGCATCCAAAATGCCATCGGATCGGGAGTGAAACATGAAATATACACGGAAATTATCGCAATTGGTGAATAAATTGATTACTACTCAGAAGTTTTATAAACAATTATATAGTAAAAGAACAGTTTAATCTCTCAGTTAATAAATATTCTTAGAATGGAAGATTGGGATATGTATGTGGCCACGGAAGACATTTAAACTATGGAACAATTTTTTGAAAACTTATACCAGTCAAATAACTACATACAATTGTATAAAGGAAACTCTGAATCAATTGCGGCTTTAGAGAAAAGAATACCTTGAAACAGAAAAAATAAAGAAGAATTAAAGTTTAATAGACTCATTTTTTCCTGTAGGCAGACTGACTAAGGAATGAAACATGGCAAATCCGATTTAAAACTATAACTTTAAAAAAAAAAAAACCTTTTTCCTGTCGAATTTGTTTGGAATTCAAGTCTAACGTTCTGTCACCCCTTAGGAAACCCCGTTTGAACTAAATTCCAAAAGAAAGACATTTTTTGACATTGTAGTTTTTTTGGTCTTACACATCGATGTCAACATGCATCTGAACATAATGTACACACATTTAGTGTGTTTGTTTGAAAAAGCAATGGCGAGTTCAGCTGTGTGAATTTGACTGATTAATTATTCTCTTTGTGTGAAATGTTTGACGTTAACTAAAACAATAAGGTAAGGAAATTTTATACTGTCTGTGCACAACCTTAAGGTGACTAAAAAAAAACTCATTCATTGTTAGTATCATTTTTAGCTCACCTGGCCCGAAGGGCCAAGTGAGCTTTTCTCGTCACTTTGCGTCCGTCGTCCGTCGTCGTCGTCGTCGTCCGGCGTCGTCTGTTAACTTTTACAAAAATCTTCTCCTGAAACTACTGGGCCAAATTTGACCAAACTTGGCCACAATCATCATTGGGGTATCTAGTTTAAAAAATGTGTCCGGTAACCCGGCCAACCAACCAAGATGGCCGCCATAGCTAAAAAATAGAACATAGGGGTAAAATGTAGATTTTGGCTTATATCTCTGAAACCAAAGCATTTAGAGCAAATCTGACATGGGGAAAAATTGTTTATCAGGTCAAGATCTATCTGCCCTGAAATTTTCAGATGAATCGGACAACCCGTTGTTGGGTTGCTGCCCCTGAATTGGTAATTTTAAGGAAATTTTGCCGTTTTTGGTTATTATCTTGAATATTATTATAGATAGAGATAAACTGTAAACAGCAATAATGTACCTTCTCTCCCGCCCGAGAACCAAGATGGCCGACATGGCTAAAAAATAGTACATAGGGTAAAATGCAGTTTTTGGCTCATATCTCTGAAACCAAAGCATTTAGAGCAAATCTGATGAGGATAAAATTGTTCATTAGGTCAAGATCTATCTGCCCTGAAATTTTCAGACCAATCAGGCAACACGTTGTTGGGTTGCTGCCCCTGAATTGGTAATTTTAAGGAAATTTTGCCGTTTTTGGTTATTATCTTGAATATTATTATAGATAGAGATAAACTGTAAACAGCAATAATGTACAGCAAAGTTAGATCTACAAATAAGGCAACATGACCAAAATGGTCAATTGATCCCTTAAGGAGTTATTGCCCTTTATAGTCAGTTTTTTACAATTTTCATAAATTTTGTAAATTTTTGTAAATTTTTGTAAATTTTTACAAAGTATTTTCCACTGTAACTACCGGGCCAAGTTCATTATAGATAGAGATAATAGTAAGGAGCAAGAATGTTCAGTAAAGTAAGATCTACAAACACATCACCATCACCAAAACACAATTTTGTCATGAATCCATCTGTGTCCTCCCAAGTCAAACTGAACTGTTATCATTAGCAGTTTATTAGCTGTTATTTACCAGTTCTTCATATTTTTAGCAGTCTTTCAGCTGTTCATAGCATTCCATCTAATAGCAGTTCAAGAAACTGCCTTATTTCACCATTTCTTAGCATTCCTCTTAGCATTCATCTAATAGCAGTCTGGATCTACCTTCTAAACTGTTGTCAATTTGTCAATTGGACAACAGTTATGACATCAGTTCAATAGCAGTTTGATAGCAGTTTTGGTTTTAATCTTTGTTATAAAAATGCTTGGATCTGGCTGTGTTTTCAGCTTGGTAGTAAACCTTTATTTGATCATTTTCAAATGTGCATTTTGGCTCCAAGCTGTGTGTAAATACTTGCTAGTGAAAAACTGTATTTTTGTCAATTATAAAGTTTAATTTGGGCTAAATGGGAGAATTTCTCACACCTGCAGGACAGTAAGTTGAAGTTACAGATAATGCATGTGTATTTTCTTACATAACTTTGTAGGGAAAAACAGAAATAATACAGAAAGCCCAAAAAAAGGGGGGATAGTTGTTTATTCAAATAGAATATCTGATGATGATAGGATTGTAATAAAATACTAGCATATATTAACAGTGCAAGATGTTATTTGAAAATAAAAATATGAATATTTTAATATAATTTTGTAAAAAAAAAACAAAAATAAATCATATTCAAGAGTTGAAAAAGGGGGAGGGATTATTAGGGAAACCTAGGTCACATATAGCTGATTGTTTAATATTGACCAAACAATCCATTTAATGAAGTTAATATATATGTTACTTAAGTTTGTTTCATAAAGTGGAAACATAATATATTACATGTATTTAGAATTATTTTGTTTAATTCCAAAAGAGAAAGAGGAGATAACTGTTTTCTTTTGGTCCACACAAAATATATATAGGAGAAGAGATATTAGTAGTTCATTTGGTAATTAAATAATAATAAAAATAAAATAAATTTTAATCTGAAAATCACTTAGTCAAGGTAATAAATAGTCTCTTTAGGCTAAGTAAATTTAATTAGTAGATTTTCATCCAAATTTTTGAAAAAAATGGGGTGGGTGGGAGGATTTTATTTTTTATTTTTTATTAGATATGAAATGCTCTTGTGACGTGTTCTTCATATATGCAAGTGTAATAATAAGGTTCTATCATGTATATACATGTATAACGAATCAAACATACAAAGAAATGCAAAAACCAAAATTTGAAACAGGATATTAATTATTAATGAAACGAAATTATCGACAGTTACCGGTAACGAAAATGAACAAAATTTCGGAAATCGTAAATTTTTCAAAATAAAAAAAATTGGGGCGGAACGATTTCAGAGGGGCGGGCGGGGATGAAAATCTATCAATTAATTTTAATTGGCCTAAGTAGTCACTCTTATTGAATAAGTTGCTTTTTATAAGCACTGATATTTAAAGTGCATTATAATTCTTAACTGTTCCTATTATTCTGCCACTGACATAATTAATATGGGGTATAAGGCGAGGTACAGTACTCACAAAGCATGTTTACACCCCTTAAAAAGTCTGTTATTGGATTAAAATAGAGTCATTTGATTGCAGTTACTGCTCAAATTACAAATATAAGTTGGTACAACTTTTTGAAATTTCAACAAGACTTGCAGTAAAATATTAGAATTTTATTTTTGCATTCATACATGTATCTTGTACGCTGTATATTCATGTGTACCTTTGTATTCCAACTTTTGACAGATCTGATAATAAAATTGAGAATGGAAATGGGGATTGTCAAAGAGACAACAACCCGACCAAAGAGCAGACAACAGCTGAAAGCCACCAATGGGTCTTGCAATGCAGCAAGAAAATCCTGCACTTGGAGGTGGTCCTCAGCTGGTTCCTAAATAAAATTGTGTGCTAGTTGAGTGAAAATGGACGTCACACTAAACTTCAAAACATATAAATGAACTAAAACTAAAAAAACATACAAGACTAACAAAGGCCAGAGGCTCCTAGCTGACTTGGGACAGCATTCCATTCCATAGCAGTTATAAGCAGTTTAGAAAACCATATAAGGATGTACAACTTAGCAGTTCCTATGAATATTCATTATTGATAGCTGTTATTATAGCAGTTCTCATGAATATTCAGAGAATATAGCAGTTTAGAAAACCATATTAGAATGTACAACTTAGCAGTTTCTATGAATATTCATTATTGATAGCTGTTATTATAGCAGTTCTCATGAATATTCAGAGAAGATAGCAGTTTTTGAGTATCTCATTTAAATTTTTCGTCATAAATAACTGCTAAATAACTGTGAAGGCTAAATAAACTGCTAAGAAACTGCTATGGAATGCTATTGGAATATGCCTATATCCCAAGTCAAAGTTAAAGGCAGTTTCTTGGCAGTTTTTTAGCCTTCCCAGTTCAGAACTTTAGCAGTTTCTGATGCTTGGCAGTTGTTAACCTTTCAAAAT